AAGCGAGCCCAGGAGGGTCCCGAGCGCCTGAGAGCCGGACACGTTTCCCTGAGCATTCCGGGAGCCCCCGCGCCCCCCAAGCGACGGGAAAGTGGTGATGGCAGGAGCCCGCTGCCGCCTCCGCTGCCGCCTTCAAGGTGCCACAGGTCTCTTTGCCGTTTGACCAAGGGCTGCTGCCTGGCCGGCTGAAGTTGGACCCCAGGTAGAGGGGTCTCTGCCGGCTCCTTGCACACCTGGGAGAAAGGACCTGCCAGGTGGGGCCCCTGCAGCCCGCCAAGGGCTTCATCCTGTGGGAGCAGGAAGGGTCGCACCACCCCCTGACTGTGTCCAGCGCCTCTTGTTTCAGGAGCTGAGCAGGGTCAGTTGGGGGTGGGCCTGTGGTGGTGGTGGGACCCCCAAGGGGGATGCCAGGGGCCCCCACGCAGGGCGAGGAGGGAGTCCTCCAGGAACCCTGGAAGGGCCGTGGCAGCCACTTGCTTCTTGTTGTATCCCAGGCCCCATGTTTGGTCATTGCTGCAGCAGCCACGATTCCGTGGTGGCGGCCGCTCTTCGGGGAACCCCTGGCCACGCTCCCCTTCTGGCCAGACCCAAAACCACAGGCCCAAAACCACCTGCCTGGTCAGCTCAAAGGTCTGCCCCTTCGGCCACACGCTGGCAGACACTACCCTGGCGTTCAGCTCAGTAGGATTTGCAGGGTCCAGGGGTTGAAGGCAGAGAGGAACTTTTCAGAGACTCAAGGGTTGCCTGAAAGCGGGGGAGGGGGGGGCTCTTCCCTCGCTGTGCTCTGGCCCAAGTACAACAGGTTGCTCAGGCTGGTTGGTTTAAGAGCCTGCTTCACCAGAGTGGCGGCGGCGGCGGCAGCACCAACAACAATCGCGGGAAGGCGCCCGCCTCTCCTTCTGGTCTCTTTGGCTTCTCTCGAAAACCTCCTTCTTTCCTTGACTTGGGGAAAAGGGGGCCTGCGCTTCGGGGCAGCAACAGTGACTCAAAGCATCACGGTGACACAGCCAGGCGTCTCCGGGCTCTGCCAGGGCTCCTGACCCCTACGACGGCTGCCGCCCCACTGCAGAGAGTTCATGAAATGCCAAAGCCCCCCAAAGAACTATCGCTTAGCTCTCCATCACATTTCTCTTCCCGTCTGGGGACCCACAGTATTTAAGGACTGGCAGGCTCAGCCCCCACACCCCCCGATGCTTGACGTTGGTCTTTGCAGTGGGGCAGAGTTTTCTGGGCCTGGGCCTCTGTAGGAACATTTTGAAAAAAATTCAGAGAAGCTGCTTGTGCCAGGGAACACTTTTAAGGGTGCCACAGGGCTCTTTGAAATGGTGTGAATACTTTGGTTTGCCACGTTGTCGCAGCCCACGAGCCCAGCCCCCCCCGGTCTCCCAGACAGGCTCCCTCAGCCAGCGGGCCCTTGTCCAAAGCCTGAGGGCCGTGGGCCGGTTGTCCACAGAAGCCCATCTTCTCAGCCATTTGGCTGGTCTGGCAAGGAAAGGGGGGGGGTCGTGCTGGGGCAGAGGGGACTGGAGCCTGTCTTCTGCCCCATCCCTGGGCCTGCCCACCTGGCTCGGTGGGTTGGAGGCTGGGGCTGCTTCCCAGACCTGTTGAGGCCAGGGCCGTGGGGGAGAGGCCCTGAGCCAGGCACCTCCGGGGACTCGGGATCAGAGCTGGGTTAACAGTCTGGCTGCCGCTGTGGGCGAGGGTGACAGGTGGGGTGGGGTGGGGGAGAGTGGGGCAGACGCCCTGGCTGGAAGACCTTTCTCCACCTGACCGCCTGTCCTGTCCGTCCGCCTGCAGCTTGGCCAACATCCCACTCACCCCCGAGACCCAAAGGGACCAGGAGCGGCGGATACGCAGGGAGATCGCCAACAGCAATGAGCGTCGGCGCATGCAGAGCATCAACGCCGGCTTCCAGTCCTTGAAAACGCTCATCCCGCATACAGACGGCGAGAAGCTCAGCAAGGTGAGGACAGGCCGGGGAGCCCCACCCCACCCCCCCAGGGCTGGAGGGCCTGCGGTGTCCTGGTGGGGCACCTTCTGAGCCTGGGGGGGGGAGGACCTTCTGCCGCCTTTCAGCCTCCCCCAGGCGGAGGATGAGGGGCTCCTGGGGCGAGGCAGGGGGCGACAGCCTTCTCGGGGGTCATGGTGAAAGAGGCCCTTGCGGCTGGGCATCTTGACCAGGAGGAGGCGCTTTAGAGCCACGGGGTGCCCGTCCTGCTGGCCGCCGGCCTTCTCAGGCTTGCCTTTCCCCCGGGAACGCAGCACCCACAGGATGAGACCCGAGATCCCCCCGCCGGGCCCAGATGAGGAAGGAAGCAAGAGAGCCGGTCCACCGGGTCCGTTCCTGCTGCAAAGGGAGGGGAGGGAGCCCCCAGGAGCCCCCGGTTGGGGTCGGGCTCTCAGGCTTGTTCACAGCCACCCGGGGGGGGTCTCTCAGGAGGAAGGGGGAGCTGTGCCAGGAAGAAAAAGGGGTCAGGATGAGTGGAGGGTGGCGGAGGGAGGGGGCACTCTAAAAAGATCTCTGCCCCCCATGGGGACAGACAGATCTAGAGCTTGGTGAAAATGGCAGCCCGGGGGTCGGCTCCTGTGAGCCAGGCAGCTTCCGCCCGAAAGGAGGCCGAGGGGCTCCTGCGGCTGCTTTTGGACAGACCCGTTCCGACTGCACGGCCTCTGGAGGAGGGGAGGGTGCTTTCCTCTGCCCCCCAATGGCTGGAGTGGAGAGCCCGAGCCGGGGGGGTGGGTGACGGCCACCAGGACGGGTGGTGCCAGGCGGGGTGGAGACGTCCTGGGCCAGGTGCAGGGTTGCGCTCTGGGCCTCCTGGGCCTGGGGAAGGGGCGACATAAATGGGCCTTCTCCCGGCCCGAATCCCAGGTGGCTCTGCATGGGCCAGAACGGGCCCTCCGTGCGCTGGGAGTGCTTGTGGGTCTTGCTGTTATATGTGGGGAGACGGGGGCCCTCCACGTGGCTCCAAGGGTCTCTGACTTGGCTCAGCTCTCCCCAAGGACGGGCTAGCAGGAGAGGCGGGCGGCTTGGGAGGGTCGATGTGACTAGGAGCGTGCGCACACGCGGAGACACGACGGCTTTTCCCTCTCGCCCCTCTCAGGCAGCGATCCTTCAGCAGACGGCCGAGTACATCTTCTCCTTGGAGCAGGAGAAGACGCGGCTGCTGCAGCAGAACGCCCAGCTCAAGCGGTTCATCCAGGTAGCGCTTGCCGGCTTGGGGGGGGGTCGCGGCTCTGGGGCCCAGAGGGGCTCTCGTGAAACCAGGGTAGCGGTTCCAACAATCTGCAGGCGACATGGGAGGGGGTGGCCCCACGAATAGGGGATAAAACAGCGGTGCGAGACATGCAAACCGTCTGATTTAATCTGGCAACTTAAACTGGGCAAGGGAAAGGGCAAATCCTGACCCCGGCGTGAAACGGCCTGAGAGACGAGGCCCAGTTAATCCTCATTCCGCACAGAGCTGAGGCTCTCCAGGGGTTAGTTTGCAAGCTGCGTGTCTCCTTTG